CTGAGATTTTGAGTAAAATTACCTTAACCGTCATTTTCTGGGAAGATTGAGACAATGCATGTAAAGGTCTCTGCAAAATGCATTACACAAAATAGATATTCAATTATCACAGCTACTCACAATATTGGAAATGCTTAATCCCTAAACATAAGCTGAGAACCAGTATCTGAAACCATGTTAGTTTTATGCCATATCTCTGTGAAACATTGCTGCCCCAATATACTTTGCCGACTACATAATTTTCTCTTCTAATGGCAAAAGAGATTCAGCAGAATTTATGCGTTCAAGGTCCACAGTTTCATAGAAATTTGCCTGTATATCCTTATTCCATTTTCAGAGCCCCACTCTTTCCCAATCAATAGCAAAACTTTAACATATGAAACTCAGCAAGGTCGGGAGGCTCAATTTGCTACCTGCATAATTAACCTTTGAGGTGAATTTCAGAAATGTTGGCCTTACAACTATAGGAGATAAGGGTTTATTTTAGGGCAGTCACAGAAGCTTTGGGATTCCTTAAGTCACCCTAAATTTAAAGTCATGAGCTCCTATCATTTTCTTTGCTCAATTTCCTCAGCATACTTAGAAGCAATCAATAAACTTACCACAAGCCTATTTCCACTAAAATGTTCTGTACAGCAAATACTTGTTCTTCCAAAGCCTTGCCTTCTATAGGCACTTGATTACAGGTATCTAGAAGTGATCATTTAACTAGCTTTTTTTTTACTGCATATCATGGACTTCCAATAACCACTTACTATTGCAAACAAGGCCATTAATGACTTAAAATCTAATCAGGCAAGAGAACCAATTGTAGATAACATAGGACCAATGAAGAGAACCCATTCTTAAGGTTCTGATCTCTGGAACCCCTTTCAGTGCCATATTCTTTACCAGCATTCCATCAAAGAAGCAGGGATTTGACCACAGGCAACTAATTATGAAAGCTCCTTACATAGTCTATGGGAGGTGATGTTTTGTGCCTGCTGTTGGAATCTGAAGTACGCAAAACAGGAACTCAGGAAGAAAAGATGAATGTGAGGTTGGGGAGGCAAGGACAAACTAGAACTTGGGAGGTTGAGTAGAACAAGCTGATGGTAGACTGGTACCTTTGTCATTCTCTCACCATCTCCAAGCCTCCATTTTGAGGTAGGACTGTCCTGCATCAGAGGCTGGAGCCCTTCATCATGGAGTTATACACAATCAGACCCAGAATTTTGAGAAGCTGAAGGTGAATCAGAAAAGAGCTGCAGGCTGGGTGTGGTGGCTCACAACTGTAATCCCAGTATTTTGGGAGTCCGAGGTGGAAGGATTGCTTGAGGTCAGGAGTTTGAGACCAGCCTGAACAACATAGCAAGACCCTATCTCTACGAAAAATCAAAAAAAATTAGCCAGGCATGGTGGCATGCACTTGTATTACCAGCTACTTGGGAGGCTGGGGCAGGAGGATTGCTTGACCCCAGGAGTCTGAGGTTGCAGTGAGCTCTGATGATATGATGACCCCACTGCACCCCAGCCTGGGCAACAGAGTGAGACCCTGTCCCACCAAAAAAAAAAAAAAAAAAAAGAAAGGAGCTGCAGCTGCTGAGGGCCCAGCTGCTGCCTCAGGCCAACTGAGCTGGTAAGTAACAACACATGAGTGAATTGCAGTAGTTTTGTGGGCTGCTCCATCTCCCCAAGCATAAAAAGATGGCTGCTAATCCATGCTCACTTTGTAATTTCACTTGTGTAGCCTGTATGCATATCCCTATCCCATTCATTGTAGCCATGCTAATCTGCAACTATGCATGAAAGTCATTTTGGGAAACAGAGCTCTCTCTGGCTTGGGTAAGGTAACACAATACAAGCGCACCACGCTATTGGTCAAAGAAGAAATCCTACTGGAAATAGAAAATCCTTTGAACTCATAATAATGAAAACATGATATATCAAAATTTATAGGATGCAGGCCAGGCACGGTGGCACACGCCTGTAATCCTAGCACTCTGGGAGGCCGAGGCGGGGGGATTGTTTGAGCTCAGGAGTTCGAGACCAGCCTGAGCAAGAGCGAGACTCCATCTCTACTAAAAATAGAAAGAAATTAATTGGACAACTAAAAAAATTAGCAAAAAATTAGCCAGGCATGGTGGCGCATGCCTGTAGTCCCAGCTACTTGGGAGGCTGAGGCAGTAGGATCGCTTGAGCCCAGGAGTCTGAGGTTGCTGTGAGCTAGGCTGACGCCACGGCACTCACTCTAGCCAGGGCAACAGAGTGAGACTCTGTCTCAAAAAAAAAAAAAAAAAAAAAATTTATAGGATACAGATATAGCAGTCCTTATAGAAACTTTATGGCTTTAAATGTTTGTATTTATAAAGGAAAAAATTAAATCAATGATCTGAGCTTCTGTCTGAAGAAGCTAAGGAAAAAGAAGAGCAACTTAAATACAATCAGAAGGAAATAAAAAGGAGCAGAAATTAATGAAATGGAAGATAAGCAATAGAGAAAAATCAACAAAGCCAAAAAGTTGATCTGTTTGTGTGGCTACGACAAAATAACTGAGAATGGCTAATTTATAAACAACAGTAATTTATTTCTCACAGTTCTGGAGGCTGGGAAGTCCAAGATTAAGGAACCAGTGGGCTTGGCATCTGGTGAAGACCCAGTCTTTGCTTCTAAGATGGCGCCTTGTTGCTGTGTCCTCTGGAGGGGAGGAATGCTGTGTCCTCATGTGGTAGAAGGGACGGAAGGGCAAAAGGGACAAATGACTTCTTTACACCTCTTTTATAAGGTCATTAATACCATTCATGAGGGATCCGAAGCTCATGACTTAATCACCCCCTAAAGGCCACACCTCTTAATACTATCACATTGGCAATTAAATTTCAACATACGAATTTGGGGGGACACATTCAGACCAGAGCACCCAAGTTGGTTCATTTCTTTGGGTATTTTTTTTTTTTTTATGCTGTCTGTGGCAAGCTCATGATTTCAAACTTTCCTCCTATCTGGGTTAATCCTAAATCTCTTTGTTCTGAGTTGTCTCCCTAGTTTCCATCTTCATCCCAGACATCATCTCTATATAAACCTACCTGCACTGTAAACTCCATGTGTCAAAAACTGAAATCATAATTCTCTTCCAAATCTGTCCCTAACTTAAAGATGAGAAGAAAAAGAAACATTATACAGGAGGATGAGAAGTAGGAAATTCACAGCATTCAGGATTACAGAGACAGAAAGTTGAAGATTCTAACTGTCTCCAGGTTTTTAAATGTGTTCTTGCACCATCTTCCCAATTTCTACCATAAAAGTGGAAAATGTAACCTTGATCTTCACTTTGTCCTCTAACTATAAAAGGTTTCAAATCACCTGTCAAAGGGAAGTTAGAATCTCACTTCCACGAATATTCTCTGAATTCCTCTAATAGAGAATAGGAAAATGTGGTAGTAGTTTATAAAACAATGTTAGGATTACCTAACATGATACTGCTTCAGATGACCAGAATTTGGGAAGGGTGAGAGGGCGGAGACTAGTTTAATTATTCCTAACACCTCTGGGGAAGCCTCTGCCCCCACTAAATTATATCCTTTCTTCTTTATTAGCTACACAGGAATAAGAATCTAGAGGAAACTTTAATACTCACATTGGAGTTATGACATTAAAGATACTAAGACAACCAGTGTGTGGATAACTTGAAATAACTTCTGAGTTTCATTCACCATTTCAACATCTTTATCTCCTCTATTCTCCTCCAGAAGAGGGGAGTAAACTACATGGATATGGCCAATTGGCTAGCTGTTCAAGAAACTGGTGTTCCCTTCCTCCCAGGCACACATTTCCCAGAATCCCTGTTAGGTGGGCCAGATGACTGAGTTTTGTCTGAAGGAATGTGGGCAAGGGATATGCACCACTTCCAGGCTGATCCATAAAAATTTTCCAGGCACCATCTTTTCCTTCTTTCCCTATGTGCTCCTTCAACATACAGGGCTCTATGGACTGAAAGAAAGGCAGAGCCCCAAGATGAGAGGAGCCTGGGTCGCAGAATGACATGGAAAGCTGCCCAATGACCAGAAATATCCACATTTGACTGTACGTGACAGAAAAGCAAACTTTGAATGGTTACTTAACCTCCCTGGGTCCTAGTTTTCTCACATCAAAGTTTGTCTAGTTTCCCGGCAAAAGAGAAAAGCTCAATAAATATTAGCTGCTATTATTATAAGGAAACAAAGTTTACTTCTCCTTAATTTTCTTCTTTTTCTTAAGCAAAGTAGAGCACTGGGGGGTGGATGGGATTAGTGGAAAGCACTCAACTGCATTTACCTGTTACAAAAATACTAACTGGTACACTTAAGTAAGACACCATTATAACAATAACTCAAAGAGAAAATACATTTTCTTCTGGATCTTAGGCATTGAATTTTATGACTGGTCTCTTGCTAAAACACTCATATCTAATAAAGGTGTGAAATATAAAAAGAATGTAATACCCCCCCACCTACCTCTTTTCTCTCCTTGACATTGAGCATCTGAGGATGTTCTAAAATGGTCCCCAACCTTTTTGGCACCAGGGACTGTTTTCATGAAAGATAATTTATGACTCAAGCATATTACATTTACTGTGCGCTTTATTTCTATTGTTATTACATTGTAATA